TTACAGACCCCGAACGCCAGCAAGCGGGGAAGGACAAGGACCCCCCCCTTCCTCTTTGTAGCGGCTCTTTCGAGGAAGAGACTGGAAAACTGGAGGCCCTGCGTAGTGGGGAATTGAGGCGAAAAGAGCTGAGGATGAAGCGAGGTGCACTGTGCCCCGAGGGAGACCGCGGATGACGGTGGTACAGCCCTGCGGTGCTCTGCGGGAGGGTGCCCTATGCTCCCCACCATCCTTCTCCCTGCCTCCCTCCAGCTCTCCAGGACAGGGCTTTCCTCCTGAAATCCACCCAAGTGTTTTCGGAGGGGATGGCTCGGCATTCTCCGCAGCCACTGATCAGCAGCCGTGCATTACGCTGTTTCCTGTCCCCAGTCTTACTCTTCTTCCCCAGTGAGCGTTTAAACTCCTCATCTGCTGGTTCCTGCTGGTTACTGCCATCCGGCTGGACAGCATAGCAAGAAGCAGCAGCAGCTGGTTTCTTTGGAGGGGTTTTCCCTAATCTCTGCAGGTTGTAGTTGTGTTGCTGTGGTGGGACTTGGGAAGAAAAAAGGCTTGCTAGGAATCTTCAGAGGAGAGGAAGGGAGGACTCAGGTAAATGCGTGTTGATTATATGGGAAGGGACTAGGGTGACTAATACGAAGGTGCAGAGCAGATACCTACTTGTTAGTCATGTAGAAGGAATTCGAATTAATTTCATGGAGAAGAAAGAAAAGGAAAGGATGAACTATTAAAGGGCAAATTAAGGAAAATATAGTGTTGCATACAGATTACCTGATGATAGTAGTGGAAATACACAAAAAGGTTGTTGAAAAGCTTTTGTTCCCTGTCCTGATGTGGGAGGCTCTGTTCGTTCCTGTGTACATCTCCACCCAGACAAAAGTTCCCATCTGTTACATAATCAATCTATGCATACATATATGGAAGCAGATATTGTTTGCTTACATTTCTGTAGTGTGACAGTTGCAAGTTCTCTCTAGCATGCGTTTAGCATAGTTAAACTTCTTACCAAGGGGTCCAGTATACCAGACAGGCTGTCGGGGAGAGCACACCGTCATCGTCATAGCGTACCTTTTAAATTCTGTGCAGCTTTTGTCTGGTTGTTGAGAAATGCGTGGACTATGAAAGGTTACGGAAATTAGAACATTTTCTGTGTGGAAGTAAGAAGTCACCCTGGGTATGGAATGGTAATATGGCTTCCGAGTTCATTCATACAATGTATGTTTTCATACACCAAGTGGCATGGTAAATATGAAGAGAAGATCTAGAAGATTTGATAGCTCGTGCTGTTTATTTAAATGAATATGTTGCTCTGATTGATATGGCAAATACAGCTTTCAGCAGAGGAGCATGAAGCAGGAATAGAGAGGTAGTATTACATGTGTATAAAGTATTGGTGAGACAATTAGAATACTCATTTCTGGACTTTGAAGTTTGATACAGTCACAGCAGAAATAAAACATGCTGTTCTCAGATCAACATCACTGAAGCTAGGAAAACAGACCAAGTAATTTGCAGCTTTTTTTCAACAAAAGGGTTGCATGATATGCAGAAATACTGTGTGTGTTACGTACAGATTAATTTTTCCTTTTTATCTCAACATACTTGAGTTTGCTAATTTAATAAATATTTTGTATAACAAACTAGTAAATCCAAAAATACAATTTTTTTTTTTAAAAAGAAAAAAATATATGTGGAAGAGTTCTCCACAGTAAGTATATATACTTCAGTGTGAAAGCAGGATTTGAGTTAGTTTTGATACCTGATATGAAATTTGCTTTCAGTACATGTCAGAGTTAAAAAAAAAGTGACAAGATCTAAGGGCATCACGCTGTCGAAATCCTACATACACGTTTTGTAGAAATGCGGGCAAGACATAAGATCTAAAATAACAACTTTAGTTTTCAATAATAATTCATTCTTAATTTTTAGCTGGATATCTAATGAATTAAGGTTGCTTATGTGTGCTTAATAGCACACAAAGGTGAAATTAATTAATTTGCTTTTTTTTTCTCTCTCTCAGAAGCAGTCCCCCTCTGCGGAAGCATCGAAACCACAAATTATGAAGCCATCTGAAACGAAGGTATGAATTCCTGAGAAACTCATGCTTGCAGTTAAGCACAAATATATGAAGCAATGGAATTTCTTTTTTAATACCCACACTGAGTAATGTTACTTTGCATATTTCTTCTCTGCAGCTTAGTTTCCTCTTCAAAAAATATCTAAAAAATGCTCAAAAAATATCTAAAAAATCTATAAAAAGTACTCAGAGGATTTCATGACAGCAATACTAATTTTAGTTTTAGCTCAGTCACACTTTGTGACATGCATACAGCTCCCCCCAATGTAATTACAGGGTTATTTACGTAATGACAACTTTTCGTATGTTCAAGGAATTCAGGACAAGTTTCAGCTTTTAGTGTGCCTACAGTTGCATCTTCTCATTAATCGCATATCTTTGTCTGTCTCACAGCTTCCTTGCCTTTGTCCTTCATGCTTGTTCTGTCTCGTCTTATGACTAGAACTTCTTTACGGTCGAAGCTGTGTCATCAATCATGTACTTTACTTGTTAGAAGAGTCATAATCCTCGCTTACGCCTCTGCTGCCTAACAGGATTTACGTATATTATTTAAACAATTGATTAATAATTCTCCCCTTCCTTCAATTTCCATAATCGTAACAGTGAAACCAGCAAAAATATGGAATACAAAACTAGACCAGCAAGGACTTGTGCAGTGGTAAGACTTAGAACTGCCTGCACCTTGTGTAAATACATTGTGATTGTTTTTATCAAATGGGAAGTTCCTTTGCTGCAACTTACTCCGTACACTGTAGAATAAAGATGTGCAGGACTTAAACTGCTTTACTTAAACTGAGCAGGGGGCCGTTGTACGAGGCTCAACAAGGCTGAGTGCTGGGTCCTGCGTGGCACTGCAGGCTCGGGGAGAGCAGCTGGAAAGGGCCCCGGGGGTGCTGGTCGGCAGCGGCTGAGTGTGAGCCAGCAGTGCACCCAGGTGGCCCAGAAGGACAACAGTATCCTGGCTCGTGTCAGCAATAGTGTGGCCAGCAGGACTGTGGAAGGGATCATCCCCCTGTGCTCCGCACTGGTGAGGCCACATCGCAAATACTGTGTTCAGTTTTGGGCCCCTCACTACACGAGAGACCTTGAGGTGCTGGAGCGTGCCCAGAGAAGGGCAACGGAGCTGTCGAAGGGCCTGGAGCACACGTGTGATGGGGAGCGGCTGAGGGAGCTGGGGATGTTTAGCCTGGAGAAAAGGAGGCTGAGGGGAGACCTTCTCACTCTCTGCAGCTGCCTGAAAGGAGGTTGTGGCAAGGTGGGGGTCAGTCTCTTCTGCCAAGTAACAAGTGATAGGATGAGGGGAAACAGCCTCGAGTTGTGCCAGGGGAGGTTTAGATTGGATATTTTTCTTTTTGGAAAGGGTTGTCAAGCACTGGAATGGGCTGTCCAGGGAAGCGGCTGAGTCACCATCCCCAGAGGTATTTAAAAGACATGTAGGTGTGGCGCTTAGGGACAGGGTTTTGTGATTTAACAGCAGTGTTAGGTTTACAGTTGGACCCTATGATCTTCAGGGTCTTTTCCAACTGAAACGACTCTATGATTCTATGATTCTAACTTGTATCTGTGGCCTACTGTCATTTTATTGTGCATCTCTGACGACAGTCTAGCTTCATCTTCTCTGTATTTGAAGTTTGCCATTATGTTCCTCTCGGCCTTTTAAAACCCTTTTCCTCCATGCACACATGTAAGACTTAAACTGGTAGCAGCAAGCTGGACGACAATTAAACCTTTTCCATTTGTGCATGAGCATCATTACTCATAAATTAAGATATCTTCAAGTCTCCAGTTTCACCTTCCTGATATGTTTTTGACCATACTCATTTGCATCATGTTTGTTAATGATGCAGTTCTCCATATGGTTTGATGCTGTTCTCCATATGGTTTAACCCAGACAGCTATCTAAAAATAGTTACGGTTTTTCCCTGCTTGAAATTTGAAATAACTCTCAGAGAATGTGGTAAATTTCTACTCAGATCTTTAAAAGTGGTGTTGGCAAGATGAGACAAAAATAGAGCAGCAGAGGCATACTTCAGTGCTGTGAGACTGGTGCAGACAAATGTCTTTGAAACAAATGTCTTCGTTTGCATGTGTAAGACAATATTTTCTTGTAATGTCTGTTGTGTTATTAGTGTCTTCCTCCTGCTGGATTAAGGAAGTCCTCTGCATTTTAACGTAGACTTCTTTGAAAAGAAATAAGGTTGCTGAGTCACTTTCATCTCTAGTCCTAAATTTCTTGCAAATTAACAACTCCTTCCTAATTGCCTGCTATAACCACATCTCATTTGTCTTTCTTAGACTTTGTCTAGAATGTAGCTACTCTTAAACATGCTCTGGACCCCTCTTTAGCGTTCAGTTCTGAGTATGTGAATCCTTTGTCTCAAATTATCCCTCAGTATTATGCCACTCCTGAGAAAGCTGTGAGTTACTGGAGCCAAGGAAGGAATGTGGAACTTCTCGTTTTGTAGGCGAAGCCCTGTGGGGGTTAGGTGGAAGGTTTGGAGAACCAGAGTGGAGAGCAGGCACCCTGTGGCTTTTGCTGGAGGAATGGAGGAGGCAGAGTGCTGCCACCAAAACACATCCTGTTCGTTTTTTTTTTTTTTTTCCTTTTGCACTCATTTGTGGAACTGCACTGTAAACTGGGGAACTAGATAAAAAAGATGGTTTTTCTTTTTCAGGCTTTGTTTCAGTTTCCTGAGCCAGTCTAAAATGTAGCAGATACTGGCACAGTGCAGGTGGAAGCAGGCGGTAGAAAGGGAGGTGAAACGTCTTTTTTTCTGTAGGAGTTCTGTACGGGGTGTAAACTGACGCTATGGCTTCAGGCTGTGACTGCTCGTAGCCGACCGACTCTGTTTAAAGGAATGTATGGTCTTATTCTAAAATTGTTGGTTTGACTTGCCCGGTAATATTTTTTTTAATTAGATTTGCACTTTGTTACTGCTAAAAGTGTGTCTAGATAGATGCATCTCTGTGTGTGTGAGCATACGTGTTCATGACCATGTGCTTTAATGTGGCCATAGCATCTTCATGTATATGTAAGTCTTGAATCAAGCCGTTGCCCATGTGAGTCCATATGTTCTTCAGCATTGTCATAGATAAATTTATAGTAGGAGCGTGTCCGCATATTTTAAAAGATAAACAAGAATAATGAATAATGCATACTTTGCACAAAAAGTACATTAAGTATTTAGTATAATACTATTTACAATACAAAAAAAAAAAAAAAAAGGCCCGAAGTTGCTAACAGCTGCTTTGGCAGGCCGAGAATTTGAATTTATGCTTTGCACAGCTGTTGTCAAGTGTTGACAGAAATGAGAGTAAATAGATTTTATTGTCCTGCAAAAAAGATGTGTTTACTTTTCTTCTGAAAAGCACATAAGGAAAGCCTGAGTGTGTACTCTAACAGCAGATAGTTCATGTCCTGAGCAGGCAGCAATCCCACAGCAGGAAAAGTCCACCTATGTTTTTTGAACCTCCTGCTTGCACTTCTGTTACATTTCTTTGCAGCCTTGCTGCCAAAGGACATCTCATGTCTGACTGACTCTGCTTTAGATGTTACATAAATACATCCAACCTTTTTCATCTAAAAGCTGTGAAAATTTAGGATTACCTTTTCAATATAAGATTATTTCGTGTACAGGTACACAAATGGATGTGTGTGTCTTTGAGTTAACCATATGGTAGTCATGTAACAAGGATGTACAAGTGGTAGCATATAAAATATGACTGAATCTGAGAAGTACTGTAATTTAATCAGTTTAGGTGTCAAGAGAAAATCCAAAGGGGGGAATCTGAGAGGTTAAGTGATTTTTTTTTTCCTCTTTTCTCTTTTATTTATTTTATTTAAAAAAAATTTCCCACTTTGGACTTCGGGAAATTTTTGTCCTCCCTCTCTTATCAGTATTTTACCTTTTGTGACTTTGCTGTGAAGAACACACCACAAGTTGTCTACAGCTTCCAGACCTTTGCCAAGCTTATGTGTGGGCATCCACATTTTTATGCATGCTCAGGATTTCTCAACTAAGTGTATGTGGTTCAGTGTGTGCATAACATTGCATAACAAATGGGAACAAATTTAGCAAATTTCCCTATGTGTGGTCAGCTAGCAAATAGAAGCTGGATATATCTAAATGGTAATTAATGTTTGGCAGCTGAAATTAAAACATTACAACACAATGAACAAATTTAAATTATTGCTTAATAGAATTTTTTTTTTTTGGTTGTTCACTCACTTTTAATAGGCTACTGGGGAAAAAAAGACTATTACTTGTCTCTTAGTAACTTTAGATTGAGTGTATTAGTAAAATAGAGGGGACAAGGAGGGCTTCTGTCTGTGGCCCCTTATTTCCTAGGTAGAGTTCAAGACTTGTTTGCTGCAGATGTGTTGTCCAAAAGTGATATGTCTGCCCAGTATGCAAGCCAATACATACGGGGTCAAGGTGTTTCTTTATTACAGGTTCATGCAAAGTTGGGAGCTGGGTGGTATTCCACAAACCTAGCTCTCCTTTACCAGAAAAATCATAGCTTATTTATCCTGTTACATGATTAGTATAAACCCACCCAAAATTACACTCATAGCTTAGTGCTTAACATATCATCTGCTATTGGCTGAACATATTTAAATGAGTGTGCATGCTCTGGGCAGACATGGGAGGATGAGTCTTTTTGATCCTGAATTGGGTCCATGGTCATGATCTCCCTGTGCTGCCTTTACCTTTCCCTAGTTACTGCCAACTCTTGCTGACTTTGTACTTGTGGTATTCTTCCAATCTCATTAACCTTCCTCATCGCAAGATATTTTCCTTATCGGTTTTTGAATTCCGTGTTTTGCCTCCTCCTTTAATGATTAATGGCTAGCAGAGTCATTAACACTTGCCAGATGTTACAAGGACACGTGTCCTCCTCTTGAAAGATGTTGTAAGGCTCCTCTGCTATCCCTCATCATCTGGAAGGAAATAAAGTCTAGTACATCCTTGCATCAGGTGGACAAAGTGCAACGAGACCGGACACTAGTGTCCCACGCTGGCTCCAGAGGAAGCGTAGGGATGCCAGCCCCAAGGGGGGACAGGGCCCAGGCTTCGGGGTCCACATCTCCCGCTGCGTACTCTGTGCACCCCGTGCTGTTCCTGGCAGATCAAGTCACGCTCCCCTGGTCCACATGCTCCCGCGTCTGTTCAGCGGCCAGAGCCTCTGAGGCTCCTGCACTAGGCAATAGCCTTCTCTTGGGCATCTCTAGATGACTTCCCAGTAGCTGCATTGGTTCTTTTTGCATTAATCGTAGCACAGCTGAAGTAGCAAGAGCAAGAAAAAATAGTAAGAAAAATATGATGAGGTGTCTGGCATTTTCTTATTGCTTTCTTATTCTCAGGTATAATTGTTCTTAAATTTTTCATTGTTTGTTCTTGCATGTTTCTACTAGTAGTAATTTATTGCTTACTGTATTTTGACTTGAGGTGAATCACAGGGATCAATTTTGTGGCATGGCTACAGAAAATTTTCAGATGTAAATCAATCTGTTAGATTTGTTTAGTATCTTCTTTCTCTCTCAGTCCTTCATATGAGCAGTGTGTGTGTGTGTGTATGTGTGTGCTTGCACACATTTGAGTGCTCTTAGATCACTGAAATGGACATCTGTGCCAGGATGTTGTAAGCTGCAAGATGGAAGCATTGTATAGTAGTTACAGAGCTTGTGTGTTCACGAGTGTGAACCTGTCTGATGTTGTTCTTTAAACAGGCTGACCCCTTAGAAATAACCAAGCATATTAATCTCTGTCTGCACATATGTTGCTTACATTTCAGTCCGAACCACCAACCAAACCAGAGTCTGGAAAAAACACACAGTCTACCAAGGTAAACACTTATCTTTCACATTTGCTAAGGTGTTGTACTTTGGTCTTTCACAAACTTTGAAAAAAGAGGCTAAACTCTTTGCTACTACTGTGCTACATGAAACTGCTGTGTGATAGTAGCATACCTGTGTGCAAAAGAGCTGGGAGCTGACGGGTGTGGAAATGCAGTGTTTTCGGGGGGAAAAGTCAGGATGCTTTATTGCTTCACAATGGCTCAGGAAACATTCTGTTAAACATGTTTAAATCTGTACTTGTGCTTGTTTGAACTAGTGTAGAACATATTCCATAGCACCGAATGGTGATCAGAGTAAATGATCTCAATTTTTTATTTTATGACAGCCAGCAGACTCTCAAAATAAACAGCCGTCTGAAGAGAGGCAGAAGGAACCCAGTGGTGTAAGTTCTGTAATTTTTTTCTCTCTTTTTTGTTATTTTTCTTTTAAATGAGGGCTTCTTGTGGTATTTTTTCTAATTTCCTATTAAAAAAATAATAATTAAAAAACAAACAAAACAAAGCCAACCCATAACTATTTCCGTATCTAATTACAATAGTTTATCTCTACACAGGCAAAAAGCCAAACCTCACCTTCTGTGACAACAACTTCTAAGCCAAATAATACAGGAAAAGCAACTACAGCGCCAGCTGACCAGCTTCCACAAGCCTCCTCCATAGAGACAGCAAAGGTATAGTAAAAGTAGCAATCCAATTTTTATTATTTGTTTTATGGTAGGGGTTAGAATCCATGTCAAGATGAGACTGGGCAAGATAAAATGAGACTGGGCCCCCATAAATCACAATGTAAAAAAGCCAAAAAGCTGTCCTGTATGTAAAGATGTGTATGACAGACATTCAGATTATCACAGTTGTAGACGTGTGTTACATGTTTGGGGTTCCTCCATCATTCATGCAAGCTTTTTGCATGTTCCTTGCAGCTACATGGGTGTAACTGGTTCTTTGTGAGTCTCTTCCCTTGCCCTTTCGCTACTGAAGGTGAACAGAAGAGACCATCTGGTCAGTCAACCAAACACTTTGTTTATATGAGCAGTGCCATCATGGAGCTCCTTCTCCTGATAGTAGCTTTGTTGGCTCCAAATGCAGCAGGTCAGCAGGTTATCCGTTTGCACTAAGGCAGCCTGTATGCCCTGACTGCAAGACTCTGAAAAAAAAAACTAGGAAGAAAAAGGTTGGGGAAAAAGTTGAGGAGGGGTCATTTCAGAGGGGTACGTGGAGAAAAAGCTGGAGCACAAGTGAGTGGTAGAGTCAGGAGCTAGACCTTTTGGTCCTCTGGTCTGCATGTGTCTGGGTGACAAGGCCAGAGGAGCATGCAGGACTCCCGCAGCGCCACTACAACCCACTTTTTTTTCAGTAAATGAGAATGTCAGTAATGCAGAAGTCCGCGCTGTGTTGGTGCTGCTCCTGCACCTAACTCCCTGAAGCAGTTTGCACCCTGCCTGTTTGAGCAGTTTGCTGCTGGCATTGGTGGTGGATTGAGAACTGCCAGGTGTAAATGAAAGCTTTTAAAAGAGACTTGGAAGGGGCCCCATAGTCTTTCTGCACTGCAGATTTCTTCCACTGGTGAAGTGAAAGAAAGAGGTAGGGTAGTTAAAATAGCATGCTTTCCTTCTCACAGCAAAATCACACTGGAAACAGAGTATGTCTCCGTAGTATTGCGGGTAGATGGTAGCTGGCTCTGCCCCAGCGTCTGGACACTGTGCAGGTGCATTAGCCAGTTACTGAGTCCAAAAAAATACGCGCAGCCTCACGGTTGGACGTTTTAGGTTGGGCTCAGTATCATGCAAGCTGCAGCTCTTCAACGTCCGAACCGCTCAGCCAGAAGGTAAAACCAGCTTATCGTTTTTGTTCAAAGTGCAGATGAAGAGGGACGATAAGATATATATGCCTGAGTAGAAAGTCTCTGTTTCACTTTGTTTCGTCTCTAGAATTTTTAACATAGGGCCATATAATAAAAATTTTTCTTTTATTATTCCAGCCTAAGTCTGAGAAGATGTCCATGGCGGCTGGTGCAGGCGCAGCCAGTGCAAGTGTGGTTGCTGCAGCTGATAAGTCAAGTACTGAGGTTGGTAAACACAGACCCAGAGAAATGCGTCCCTTGTATAAAATGTCTAAGAGAGTGTTTCTCTCTCTGAAACACTTCAGTTTCAGAAAAAATAAATTGATAACTGCCGAAGTATTGCTATGTAGCAGTTACATGCGGTGGTGAAGGGACTGTCTGAAGGAATAAGTAACAAAGTAATGGCGTGTCATTTGTGTTTTGTCAAACAGGGCTTATTTGGAATCACTTTTACCACAACTAGCACAAAATTAATTGCTCTTTATCTTCAGTTGTGTTTGTATATGTGTGCATGTATATCAGCTGGTATATAAATACACGTGATCTTGTTACTGAGACTGAGGAACAAGTTTAAGAACAGTTCTCACTGAAAAATTTGACAAGTGCAGGACCTACTGAAAGAAAGCTTTTGGTTTGGTTTCCAGGAATTTTCTACAGATTCATCAGATGATTCAGATTTTTTTTTGTTCCTTTGTACAACATGGTAACTTGTATAACGGTTTGCTTATTTTTTAGCCTGGTATGGATGAGTCGGCACTAGATAGCCTAATAGATACCCTAGGTGGACCTGAAGAAGATGTGCCTACTAGTCCTGTTTACACTGGTCCGGAAGTTACGGTATTTTCATTTTTATTTTTTTAGAAGATTAATCTCTAAAATATGTCTGTAGTTACTCACTACTTCATTGATCCAGTATTTGTTTCTTCGATCTGCTAAGAGGTAAAATAGAGTTTGCACAGTTGCATTTTAGTATTGTTATCAGTAATACAGAAATGGTACAGCTATGTATGTATTGCGGTAGAAAACAGTGACATGTCAACAAAGAAAGTTTGTTGCTTTCTGAACTGACTTCCAAGCATGGTCTCCAATAGATTTACAAAAGGCGGCGATGGAGATGTTAGAGAGTGTGAACAGCATAGATGTCATTTCTACTTGAGAAAGGGTGAAACACTGAAAATTTGGGGAAGAATGCATACTTTTCTGAGTTAGAATGGGAGAGTAACATAAGAAGGATTAAGATTACAAGCTCAGTGGCTCAGCATGGTACTCGGGCATGATAAAAATTTTGGAATTTATAAATATTTTAAATTCAGTCTAAGTACAGCAATACGTTCTATGGTCTGAGACACTGAAATGGCTACTGTTAATGCAGAATGAATCTAACAATAGAGATGCAGAGTTTTGCGAGATGACATGCACTATTGAAGGTAGCTGAGATGCGTGTGCATGACACTAGGATTCTGAAAGACACTATGTAGTCACAGTCCAGGATTGGCCCTCTGACCTAGCCAACCCCCCATTTTCTGTCTGGAATTATTACTGTAGGTAGCTCCACATTAGAAATTTATTTTGATAAACAAGAATACAAAAACATTAACGTGTGGATTCTTTTTGTAGGAAGATATATCTTCAAGATACTTGGAAGAAATGGGTAAACGGGAAGGTAGTCTTCCTCCAGAGTATGTTAAATTGTTGAAGGTTAGTGAGTTAAAAAAAATGTTCTTCATGCATGTTTTCCTTCCTATCATATGTTTTTGCTTCCCATTTAATACAAAATTTATTCTCATTTTAGAGCAAAGGGGATGGCAAAGATGGAGTCCCACCAAAAGCAGATGCACGAGATGAAGTAAGACTTATTTTTTCATATTAGAAAAGAAGGTGAAAACAACCCAATTATCATTGGATTCCGAGGAGAATTTAAATGTTGCCTGTCTTCCGAAAATCCCAGAAAGTAGGAGAGGGCTGTGGGGTGCCTGATAACATAGATACTGATAAAACTAAATAGAACTTGACACAGATGTTTTTAATAAAGAAGTAGGAAATTTCAGGACACTGACTGAAACTGAAATAAATCAAATAAATGCTCATAGAGATATTAGACATAATAATAACGAAGGGAATAAATAACTAGCCGTGCACGCAGGAGTCTCTTTGTAATCTCTTGGCAAAGATTGCTTGAATTTCTATACTTAGCAAGAGAATTTTGTAAGCCAGCTTATTTTTACTGTTTACAAGTTTAATATACGAAAATGAAAGTTTATCTGAAAAATGAATGAACGAGTGAGGGGAAATATCTTTTGTTTTTTCTGTGACAGCTTATGAGGTCATTGTGTGAGTAAGCGTGGAGCAGACTCAGATTTTAAGCAGAGTTTGGCAGCACTGATATTCGAACTTTAATAATTGTAACCTAGTTTGCAATTTCTTGCTCAGAAACCAATGACAGATGATGAGCTTGCAGAGGCCCTGTCATCTGAATTTACCTGTAGTACTGCTTCTGCAGAAGAAAAGAAGACAAGTCTGACAGAGGTATTGATATTTTTCTTGCCATTGCATGCCTTTATTGCAATGAAAGATGGCCATTATTATCTTAATACTTCATTTCAAAATTATCTTGACAATTTTCCCCTTGTTTCTATTTTGCAAATTTGCCTGTAATTTCCTATCTCTTGTAGAAACCAAGTAAAGAAGGGGAAATTGTGCAAGCACAAGCAGCAAGTTCAGTCAAGGCGTCAGTTCCTCCTAAAGAGAAGAAAACAAAATCGAAAGAGGTATATACATAGTCATTCTTTGGCTAGTTAACTTCTAAGTAAAATTTAGAAGCGCATGTCGTATTTTATGTGTGCCTGATCTTGTAAAGGTGCTCATCATCCTCATTTTCAGCTATAAATCCTGTTTATCATAGAGAGTATAGGAGTAACGGGAATTGCCATTGCTCAGACTCTACTGTGCCTTAAAGATCGGGCCTTAGTGGGTTAGATAATTTTCCTTCTGGGTTCTCCTGCAGAATAACTGTGGTTCTTCTGACTAGAGGCAATGGAGTAGAAGAATGTATGTATTTTCTTAGCTATGTGAGGTGTGCTTACAACATGGGTATGATGTAATTTTCTCGTGTTTTACAAACCTTTCTTTCTTCCTCTGTAGAGAGCAAGTGTGACCTACGCTTTCTCGGTTTGCCATGTCAAAGCACATGGCAATTGTGTTACGTGATACTGTGCTTTTTTTTTTTGCTTTCTCTTTTTTTTTTTTTTTTTCTTTTCCCCTCTCCTTAAGAGGATATACGTCTTATCACATAATTTGCCATATCCTGCAATGTGGTGTTGTGAAAATCAGGTAAAGTCAAACAAAAATGACCAGTCTGGTGCTGACTGTTTGCTTCACATATAGCATAAAAGATATGTAAGGTAAAACCTATGTCAGTTTAAAGAAATAATGAAATTGTTTGCATATTTTCTTAAATACAGGAAATTAAAGATGATGCAGTGGAAGCTCTTCTTGATACTCTTGGTGGACCTGAACCTGAACCTGAAGAAGATCTTACCCCTGTGGTAGAGGTGTCAGAGGTATAATCTTACTCCTTTTTACAGCAGTTTTCAGACTCTCCCGTGGAATCCCAAGACCTCTTTGTTAGATACTGTACAAACATGTAAAATAATAACAAAGCAACTTTCATATCAAAGCCCTAAGGAATGTCTTAGTGTTACATGATTAAGAAAATTCAAAAAAGAAGAAATCCTGGGTGGATACAGGTAGAGTAGCATATGATAAGATGGTCTGGAAATTAAGAAGTGTATTTCGTTTGGCTATACAAGCATACATATGCACACCTTTCCCTGTATTAGCTATAGTTGCTCTGTTTTTTTCCCCAAGCACTGGATACAATTTATAGCAAACTTCTGTTCTGCACGCATTTGCTGTTTGATTTTTAATTAACTTTGGGAGATTTTAGTGCATCTCCTTTTCCATCAGACCCCATTATCTTTCTCTTTGCCTTTCTCTATGTCTTCTAATTCTTCAACAGTTAGATTTTAACAGTAGCCCTGTGTTCGCATGTTAAACTTTGACGTTTTAGTTTAATTTTGCAAACTCGGCCTATAACCCTACTAATATCAGTTATTTTCCCCTGTCTTCACTTAGAGCTCAGAACAAACAAATGACAGGGAAATAGTAGAACATCATTTGTTACCCAAAGATGTTGGAGTTCGATTTTGACAAAAACGAGCATGTTGTATTGCAGATTCAGTCAGTCTGGGCCTTCAATTAACTTGGTGGATGCACTGCTTCATGAAGGACGTCCACAGAATTAAAAGCTGGATTTCAGGAGCAGTGATGGAAAAAGATACAGAATTACAGCTTGTATAATCAGTGATGAAATCCAATGAAACCTGAGGATTTTGCACACCCCAAAAATTCTAAAAGTACTTGCCACAAAGTTACGGCTCTGAATAGCATCTGAAGTTTTTTAGAATTTAAAATAATGTAGCCATGTTCACATACAGCATTGATTCTTAAACCATGATTTTACCACAGAAATTTGATAGAGATGAATTGAGGAATTTTAATATCTTGATACATGGAATAATTTTATCTGATGCTAGTACTTCTTCAAACAGTAGGCCAAAGAATTTTGATATTGAAGTTGAGTGTACTTTGAGTTTTTATTTTATTTTATCTTAAGTGATTTTTTTTGTTTTCTTTTTAAGGCAAAAGCTAAAGAGAAAAAAGAAAAAAAGGCTGGAGAACATGATGGTACAATACCTCCAGAATACAGGTTAACACCAGAGTTGGTAAGTGTTTCATATCTCCATTGCATTCTAAATAGGGCATGGCATTTGACACCGTCTTTCGTCACAGAGAGGGAAAGAACATGGGGAAAACAAGCAGAACTAGTATTTCATCAACGGCTTCCTCCTCTTGATGATTTCTGTATCCCTGGTTTCCTTCCCTTCCTTTGTGGGCATGGCTGGGTTTTTCAGGCATTCTGAGCAAAGATCTGATCTTCCCAGGTCACACATTCCTTCTCCAAGAGTGGCATTACTTGTTTCTCATGCTAAAGCTCAGTGTTGTAAAATCCATCCCTTTACAGAAATGCTCTGGGGTACCACTTTGTAATGTAACCTTGAAAAACTCTTTTAAAATAATACAAAAAATTACACTGATTTTTTCAGATTGTCGCTTCAAGTGATGGAGATTTGTTCAAAGTTAAGCAAAACAACAATAGAACTGAGATGTTTTTTCCATAAAGTTCAGAACTTAGAAGTTTTATGACAGTTATTAGTATAGGTTAGCAAGGTTGCTAAATAAACTGGCCTTGATGCAGCTGAACGTTAACATGCTGTTTTGAAAGGAGCACTTTTACCCCTTTTTAGAGCTTTCAAAACCACCTCATGACAGATCTGGGGTTTGTGTTCAAGTGCAAAATTTACTTTTGCTTTCCAAACTTGTTTTACTACTGAAGA